GACCATTTTTTTTCTGTTTATCTTAAGTTAATGATAACAAATCCCTATTGTGAGATTATCTTACTAAGATAGGTACTGGCTTAAAAACAAAAAGTAAGGACTGAAAGATTAAAGCCCTGAAAAGGAATGCTTGAAGAGCATTAACTTTACCAGATTCCTCAGGTTGGCAGCTATTCCCCTTTGCAAAAAGTGTTAGAAATTGATCTCTTTACTTGGAAGGAAGGATTTTACAGAGGGCTTCCAGAAACACATCTGATTTCCAGTTGCAATATCAGAATATTCTAGTTATATTGATAATCTCCAGAGAAACAAAGTCTATGAGTACTCTAGTCAAAGCAAAAGATTATCTGATTGTAGAATTTCTAAGGTATTATTTCTAAGGTATTCTAGCTTTTTTTCTGAAGTAACAACTGTGTTTGGCTATATGTGTTGACAATAATAGTCTGTGTAGAAAAGGGAGAGAAAAATAAAACAATGTATCCCATTTTGTTATTTCCAAGAGGAAAATGAGTCTCTAATGAGATGTCCCCAAACAGTGCTGCCGTTCATCAAAGCACATGCCCCAGATCTGAGTGAGTTTAATTATCGTGGGGACAGTGAAACAAGGACATTTAAATCAACTTAAAGTGGAAAAATTCAGAAGATTAAGAAGCAGCATATCTCAGGCTGCATAGAATTAATATTAATATTTGATATCTCTTTTCTCTTAGAAGGAATCATCTTTGGAAGGAGGCAACAAAGTTAATCCCAAACATGTTTTTGATTAGCCAGTACATCAGAATCAGCCCATCATTTTGGAGAAAGAGATCAGTTCTCTGCATAGATAAGCCTTCCAATGTTAAGAGACAAGCTCTGTGTGGTATCTAGATTGCTGCAGAATAATTTGAGCCTCACGCAGGACTTTTGATCAGAAGAGAAATTTTGATCATGAGGGAAATTGTTTTATTAGGGGTATTATCTGAACTTTGCTAGAGCTATTTACTCCTTTACCAGAAAAATAAGTTAAAATCTGAGGATAGAAAATAATATGTTTCATGAAAATAATTCCTTTTTATGAGTCTCCAATTGTTTGGTTGGTGATTTTTGGTTATTTATTTATTTATTATTAATTATATGATTCTTTCAATAGCTTTTGGTGGTACAAGTGGTTTTTGGTTATGTGGATGAATGGTATAGTGGTGGAGTCTGAAATGTTAGTGCACCTGTCAACTGAGTAATGTACATTGTATCCAATATGTAATTTTTTTTATCCCTCAGCCACATCCCACCCTCCCCTGGTTCGTTATTATACTATGTATGTTTTTGCATCCTCATAGCTTAGCTCCCACTTATAAGCGAGAACATGTAATATTTGATTTTTTCATTCCTAAGTTACTTCACCTAGAATACTTACCTCCATTTCCATCCAAGTTGCTGCAGAGGACATTATTTTGTTCTTTTCTGTGGCTGAGTGGTAGTCCATGGTGTATACAGACCACATTTTCTTTATCTACTCATCAGTTGATGGGCACTTAGGTTTATTCCGTATCTTTGCAATTGTGAATTGTGCTGCAATAAACATACACATGCAGGTATTGTTTTCGTATAATGACTGTTTTTCCTTTGATTAGATACCCAGTAATGCGATTGGTGGATCGAATGGTAGATCTACTTTTAATTTCTTTGAGAAATCGCCATACTGCAAAGGTTGTACTAATTTATATTCCCACCAGCAATGTATAAATGTTCCCTTTTCACCACATCCACACACAACATCTATTGTTTTTTAACTTTTTAATAACAGCCATTCTGGCTAGAATAAGGTGGTATTTCACTGTGGTTTTAATTTGTATCTCCCTGATGATTCGTGATATAGAGCATTTAAAAAAATATATTTGTTGGCCATTATATATCTTTTTTTTTTTTTTAAGAAATATCTATTCATGTCATTTGCCCACATTTTAATGGGATTATTTGCTTTTGTCTTGCTGATTGAGTAGCTTATAGATTCTAGATATTAGTCCTTTGTCAGATGCATAGTTTGTAAATATTTTCTCCCATTCTGTGGGTTGTCTGTTTACTCTCATGATCTCTTTTTATTTTTGTTGTTGTGAACAAGCTTTTTAGTTTAATTAGGTCACATTTATTTTTGTTTTAATTGCATTTGCTTTTGGGGTCTAAGTCATAAATTCTTTGCTTAGGCCAATGTCCAGAAGAGTTTTTGTTTGTTTGTTTGTTTGTTTTTAAGAAAGAGTCTTTCTCTGTCACCCAGGCTGGAGTTCACTGGCGCAATCTCAGCTCACTGCAACCTCCACCACCTGGGTTCAAGTGATTCTCTTGCCTCAGCCTCCTGAGTAGCTGGAACTACAGGCAGATGCCACCACACCCACCTAATTTTTGTATCTTTAGTACAGATGGAGTTTCACTATGTTGGTCAGGCTGGTCTCAAACTCCAGACCTCGTGATCTGCCTGCTTCGGCCACCTGAAGTGCTGGGATTACAGGCGTGAGCCACCGCGCCCAGCCCAGAAGAATTTTTACTAGGTTTTCTTCTAGAGATTTTGTGGTTCAGGTCTTAGAGTTAAGTCTTTAATCCATCTTAAGTTGATTTTTATGTGTGGTGAGAGATAAGGGATGCAGTTTCATTGTTCTACATATAGCTATTCAGTTTTTCCAGCACCATTTATTGAATAGGATTTCTTTTCCCCAATTTATGTTTTTGTATGCTCTGTTGAAGATCAATTGGTTGTATTTGGTTTTATTTCTGGGTTCTCTATTCTGTTGCGTTGCAATGTCTATATATCTATATTTATACAGGTACCATGCGGTTTTAGTAACTATAGCCTTGTAGTATAATTTGAAGTCGGGTAATGTGATGCCTTCAGATTTGTTCTTTTTGCTTAGGATTGCTTTGGCTATTTGGGCTCTTTTTTGGTTCCATATGAGTTTTAAGATTGTTTTTTCTAATTCTGTGAAAAATGATGTTGGTATTTTGATAGGAATTGCATTTAATCTGTCGATTGCTTTGGGCAGTATGGGCATTTTCACAATATTGATTCTCCTAGTCCATGAGCATGGGATGTATTTTTATTTGTTCATGTCATCTACAGTTCCTTTCAGCAGTGTTTTGTAAGTTTCCTTATAGAGATATTTTGAGTTATTTTTTTTTCTCTTTCTTTTTTCTCTTACTGTCCTTGAGTTCTTGATTTGATTGTCAGCTTAGTCATTGTTGCTGTAGCAGTGCTACTGATTTGTGTACATTGATTTTGTATCCTGAGACTTTACTGAATTTATCAAATCTAGGGGTCTTATGGAGGAGTCTTCAGGGTTTCTAGGTATTTGATTGTATAATTGGCAAACAGAGATAGTTTGACTTCCTCTTTTTTATTTTGGATACTCTTAATTTCTTTCTCTTTCCTGATTGCTCTGGCTAGGACTTCCAGTTTTGGTCTTTTAAACAAACCTTAAAAGATGGCTAAACTAAGAGATGGGGAGTATATTCATCTATGACTTTTCCTCTGCTGCTCTGTCTCTTATGCCATATACTAATTTATTAGCCAATAAATATCTAAGAACCTGGCTGCTCAGTGTTCAGTAAATAATAGCCTAGTTGAAATACCTTGTTGGAATATGGGACCTTTATCTCAAAGCCGAATGTCTCATTTTTCTCACCATGCTTAGTTGTCATGTCTTTATGAGTGTATTAGGGGCTATTTTACTATTTCTGTTTCTGTTTGTGTTATATGTTGATGTGTATTATGTCAGTTAAGCCTAATAAAAGATCCTATTAGAGACCCAAGGAAGTACAATTGTCACCATTTGAGATATAAGAAAACAAAGGCTCAAGGTGTGAAATTCCTACCCTGAGGTGAGAGTTCTCTTAAGTGTTGTAGCCTCAGGGAGGGACCTCTCTAGCATGTCAGACTGATTTGTTTGACATCACAGAGCAATGCAGTGTAGTATCAAGTTTCAGTCCCTGTGTATCCTACAGTTATCTCATTTTTCTACCCAAACAGGTTCTTATCCATTGACCAACATCAAATAGGACATATGCTCAAGAGGGTGAAGGAAATAGAAATGTATAAGATAAATCTTACTGTGCCTAGATACTTTCTATGTAGGCACAGGGAAAGGGGACATAATTTAAAAATATGTATTTACATATGAGTAGAGTATAACATATACTAGAGGCCAAGGCCCTTGTTCTCAAAGCACTTAGATTCTGGGAAGGCAAAAACATTCTCGACTGTCAAGTACAGAGTGACATATCCATTAATTACAGAGTGTGTGTCAACTGAAAATATTTTGAGGTATTGGCTTTCAGTGAATTCTGATAAACTTTATCTCTTACACATCTTTGGCTCAGGAGTAAAGAATTTGTAACATCAAATATGTTAACTAATAATCAGCCAGCTATCAGTAATCATAATGAAAATCATGTGTTGTCATTATGGCATTTTTCTATCTTAGGAAATGCAGCTCTTTCTTCACTACTATTGCCGTATGTTTAAAGGAAAAGAATTACTCTTATGTGACCCAGTTCACACCTTGCCAAATCCTTTTACTCGGTATGTGAGCCAATTACAAAGGGCTTGTTTTTACAAATGTGCTTGCCCATCAGTCCAAAAGTACCGCTGAAATCAGAAATATTTTCTTAAAATATAATCTTCCAAACATGGCATTCTGGTAGCATAACCATATATTGTGATTTTAAAAAATGCTCAACATTTCATAGCCTATGGAAGAATCTCATTTTTCCTCAGGCTTATGGCAGTTCTCAATAATTTTATGAGATGTAGTATTGACTATATCAAGTTGAAGAAAGGTCACAGATCTCCATGTAAGAATTTGTAAGTGATTAGAAAATAAAAAAGAACAATAAATGTAATGAAACATATTATAAGGAAAGTGTTTTCTGTATCAGTTCATTAGTTTTCAAAACCCAGCAGCATGAAATTAATACGATTTCTACCAGCAACTCATCTCTCCAATGTTTTTTCTTTTTTTCCCCTCTTTTCTTAGATTGAAAAAGAAAAAACAAGCCAAACAAAATGCAGAGACAACCTCAGCTATGGCTACAAGGACTCATACTGGGAAGGAAGATTCCAATACAGTAGTTTTAGAGCCAGACAAGTGCAACATTGCTGTGGAAGAGGAATATATGACTGATGAGAAGAAAAAGAGAAAAAGTAATCAGTTAAAGGAGATTAGGCGTACAGAACTAAAGAGATATTATAGTATCGGTGAGTATTGATGGCGTTACTGCAGTATTTTCATTTAAAAAGCCTATAAAAATTTTTAAAAGACTATCATTTGTGATGGATCATAATAATGGTAACAGTTTGTGGAGCAGCTGCTATGTGCCCCTGGCCCTTGCTTTATATACATAATCTTGTGTAAGGGGATCACACTAAAATAATGTCTCATTTAAATTTGTGTTCCCAGCATTTAACACAGTGCCCAGCATGTATTGTGTACTAATAAACGTTTATCTGAAGAAGAGTCACTTTCTCTTTATGAGAAATATTTTTCTCAACGTATGTAGACATATTCATAAATATGCCGATAGAAATGCCTGTACTTTTTGTCATTTGCTAGACAGTAGAAAATGGAGGAGACATGGCCTAGCATCTGTCAGTTAAAAAAAAAAAAAAACCCTAAGAGTCTTTTTTTTTTTTTTTGACAAGGAATCTTGCTCTGTGCAATGGCATGATCTCGGCTCGCTGCAACCTCTGCCTCCCAGGTTCAAGCAATTCTTCTGCCTCAGCCTCCTGAGTAACTGGGACTGCAGGCGCCCGCCACCACTCCTGGCTAATTTTTTGTATTTTTAGCAGATGGGGTTTCACCATGTTGACCAGGCTGGTCTTGAATTCCTGACCTCAGACACTTGGGAGTCTTAAAGGGAATCTTGAAATGAGTCCACAGTGTTACATAGTTTCTCAGAACAACCCCTGCATCTGAAACTACATTCGCAGAAGTGGCATATCTAGCTTGACATGAATCATCCATCTCATACCTACTGTTATATCACATACACCCATGGATTTTCTTTTAAAGAGAATGCAAATAAATGAAATAAATAAAGGGTACCAGGAATCAGAACTTGGCATGGTATACAGGTTATGGCATAGTTGAGATTGCTAGGAAAGGGAGAGAAAACTGAGAGCAGTATCTGAGAACACACTGCAAATACGGTAAATGAAATATGATTTTGTAGCAGAGCAATGACACTTGTTCTGGGCCACCCTCAAGTTGGTCCTAGTTAATACCAAAGTTACAGGAAGACATACGTTTATGTCTCCATGGTTTTTTAATTTTATTTATTTATTTTATTTATTTACTTATTTATTTTGAGATGGACTCTCACCCTTCGCCCAGGCTGGAGTGCAGTGGCACGATCTCGGCTCACTGCAAGCTCTGCCTCCTGGGTTCACGGCATCCTCCTGCCTCAGCCTCCCCAGTAGCTGGGACTACAGGTGCCCGCCACCACGCCCAGCTAATTTTTTGTATATTTAGTAGAGATGGGGTTTCACCATGTTAGCCAGGATGGTCTCGATCTCGACCTCGTGATCTATCCTCCTCGGCCTCCCAAAGTCCTGGGATTACAGACATGAGCCACCACACCTGGCCGTGTCTCCATGTTTAATGTAACCTTCCAACAGTGTTAGAAGACATATGGCATGGCATGCAGGTCATGGCATACTTGAGATTGCTAGGAAAGGAGAGAAAGCAAAGGGCAGTTACTGAGAACACACAGAATACGGTAAATAAAATGTGGCCTTGTAGCAGAGCAATGACACTTGTTCTGGGGTGCCCTAAACTTGGTCCTAGTTAATGCCGAAGTTACAGGAAGACATACTTTGTATCCATGTTTAATGTAACCTTCCAACAGTGTTCAAAGATAAAATGGACTGCCCTTGAGGTAGTAATAAGTGCTGCATTGCTGATGTTGCTACCATACAGGCAGATGCTCTCTCGGCAGCCGAAAGCATGTGGTTTGTAGCTTTACAGTCGGCTAAGATGATTGTATAATGTATTACATGTCTTAATGGATGTTTTTAATCTCAAGCTATTCAGTATTTTATAAAAAGCTGTAACTGTCAACCTGTTGAAAGATACTTCTGTGCTGTTAATAAGCTTCCTCTTAAAATGTAAATATTAAATATTATCCCTTATTTCCAAAAAGAGGAAAAGGATTAAGGAAAATTGTATTTCATATCTTTTGTTTGTTTTGAGATTGGGTCTTGCACTGTCACTCAGGCTGGAGTACAGTGGTAGGATTATAGCTCACTGCAACCTCCGACTTCAGGGCTCAAGCAGTCTTCCTGCCTCAACCTCCTGAGTAGCTGGGATTACAGGCACATGACACCACACCTAACTATATATATA